TTCATTTCAAATTAGAAATTCGAGCGGCTGAATAGATCTTGTCTGTGATAAACAAAACACATAATAATTTATAGAAGCTTATAGTTACTCAGCTGGTCAAGATCCTGAGTCTTAATGCACAATAACGTCTTTATAAAAGGCCGAGTCTTGAAGCAGCCAAATCTTGAGAACGCCGTTTCATAAAACTTTATACCCACTTTAATATTATCCTCTGGTCTAAGTTAATTTTTTTCCAAGTCCATATAAATTCGTGTATACATTTGCCATGTTTGTGCTTACATTCCACTCACGGCAGACATTTTAAGAACAGTGAATATTAATAGAGACACTTTTTTAATCTTACAGATAACGTTTACATATATCGAAGACCAGAGGCCGGTCTGGATGAAATGGTTGGCTGGTGGGAGTTTTGCAGCTCTGGTGTTTATTGCAGTAATTTTATTGGTCACGGCGCTCAGAAGAAAATTCAAAAAACCATCAAAATCTATGTAAGTATATTTGAATATGGCTCAAAAAGCCATTAAAAATTTATTACGTTTTATGATAAAAAGAATTGTCTTTTACTATGTCATATTTGCTTCACCTTATAATTCCATAATTTTCGCGAGTCGAATTATTAACGAATTTTGAAAACATTTTCCTGCTTTGTGAATGTGATCTCTGTCTCTGACAAAGTTTGTCTGTTCTCATTTCTTACAGAATATCGCCGCCTTCCACAGACAAATGTGATAGATCATTTAGCCCGGAATGTACAGATTCCTCGACCGATGAATCCGTCTCGATCTGCAAACCTCTCAGACGGAGTCCAAGATTAATACACCCCACCAGATGCACTGCTTGTACGACCTCATCGCCATCACCATCGTCATCAAAATCATTGTTAACCGAGAAGTCATCATCAACGCTTAAAATTTCGAAAATACCTCGTAGACGACAATCAAATTTAAGAAGGGAATTTCATGACACCAAATTCTTGAAAGGAGAGCCAAATGTCAGGGGCCCAGTAAGGGCCAAGGAGGCACCTGCCACGTTGATCTTCGGGAGCCCAAAGAGTTAGAAGGTCTTACCAGCTAAGCGACTGTTGCGGTGAACGCGCTCGCGTATTGGACTGAGGCCCAGTTCAAGCCACTACAGCGTCCAGCACATCGGGAGTGAGTGAGGCTGAGATATCGCGAGCTCCACTGGCACGTGGTGAAGTTTTAATGTTATCAAATTTCTTCAAAATGAAATTCAATAAAGATCTGTTGTATGGACACATGTGATTTTGATTAATGACCGAGGTAATGGAAGAATGGTTTTATTTTGAGCATTGCCTTTCGTATTTTGGAGGAGTTACATAAGCCCGTATTGGACTTAATTTTGTATCCAAAAATTGTTGTTTTAAAAATGTTTGTAAATATATTTGATAGCGAGCGAAAGCCGTTAAGTCTTTTAATTATAGATTAATAACCCCTTTAAAAATATTACATGTTCCAGTCTTTGTCAAGACAGTAGATCGCCTGTTCCAAGAATTGTTTAAATTGAAAATTTTCAAAATTTTCGAAAAACCAAAATATGCTGAAACTTGTCTGAAAATGGCAGAGAATCTAGAGATTCAGATGTACTTTGTCTGTCGAGCGCGGTGTTTGCCTGACACGGTCTGCGACGTGCCGAATCTGAAAAGCCAGAGTGTTTCACTCACCACGTAAGGCAGGCAGTAGCTCGGTGAGATAGACGCCGTGTCCGGCAGGGATTAGATGTGGCGTTCACCGAGACTGGAATGCTTCTATTGAGAACTTAGAAAAAAATTTCAAAATTTACGAAAAATCAAAAAATGCTGGAAATTGTCTGAAAAGCGCACAAAACGAAATTATTTTGAAAATTTAAAAAAAATTGAAATTTTTCAAACATTTTTGGTTTTTTTCGCTTTTTGAAAATTTCCAGCATTTTACGATTTTTTGAAAATTTTTCAAAATTCCACCACCTAATGCCTTGCAGAACCGGTGTGTTTCGGACTCTTTCTGATGTACTGTGTCTCTGACGAATGCAATCTGTGCATGACTCGGACTCTTTTCGCACCGATCTCTGTATAACACGGCAGGTGCGGCAGACAACATGTGATGCAGTGTCTACAGAAACCAGAGTCTTGCAGAGGCCGATTGGTGCAAACACCGAGGCGGACAGCAGCTGGGTGAGATTGAGGCCGAGTCCGGCAGATACAGAATGTGGCATTCACCGAGATTGGAATGCATCTCTTGAGACCTTTGAAGAAAATTTTAAAAAAATCACGAAAAATAAAAAAACGCTGGAAATTGTCTGAAATTCGCAGAAAATAATTTCTGAAAATTTTAAAAAAATTTTGAATTTGAAATTTTTTAAAACATTTTTGTTTTGTGCGCTTTTTGGACAATTTCCAGCATTTTTTAATTTTTTGAAATTTTTAAAATTTTCAAAATTCCACCACCTGATGCCTTACAGAACCTGTCTGTGCCGGACTGTTTCTGATGTACTGTGCTTCTGACGAATGCGGTCTGTGCCTGACTCGGGCTCTTCACGGACCGGTCTATGTATGACACGGGTCTGACGTGCTGTCTCTTAGAATCCCAGGTGCGCGCAGACAACACGTGTGGCACACACGGACCTGCAGAGACAAAGAGTCTTGTAGAGGCCGGTTGGTGGAAACAACGAGGCAGGCAGGAGCTGGGTGAGATTAAGGCCGAATCCGGCAGATACGGAATGTGGCATTCACCGTGACTGGAATGCATCTCCTGAGGAGACCTTTGAAAACAAATTTCAAAATTTTTGAAAAATTAATAAACGCTGGAAATTGTCTGAAAAACGCACAAATCTAAAAAATTGTATTTTTTTTGAAGTTAAAATATTTCAAGTTTTTTTGGTTTTCTGTGCTTTTCGGACAATTTCCAGCGTTTTTTGGTTTTTCGAAAATTTTGAAAATTTTGAAGATATTTTCAACACTCTCACCAAGAGATGCATGCCAACCTCGGCGAATGCCTCACCCTGTCTCTGCCGGACTCGGCCTCGATCCTTTCCAATTGCTGACTGCCTCGGTTTCTGCACAACCGGCCTATGCAGAGCTCGATGTGTGGCCGACCGTATCCCTGCACGTCTCGGTATCTGACTTGCATCCCGCACCTCGGCTTATAGAAGACGGCAGTCAGCAATTCTAAAGGATCGAGGCCGAGTCTGGCAGAGACCGTGTGAGGCACAGACCGCGTTCGTCAGAGACACAGTATATCAGACACAGTCCGTTGGCTATCTGTCCTGCATGGCATCAGGTGGGGTGGAATTTGAAAGAAATTTTGAAATTATTTCAAAATTTTGGAAAAATCAAAAACACTGGAAATTGTCCAAAAAGCGCAAAAAACCAAAATTTTTTGAAAAATTTCACTTTCAATTTTTTTTTCAAAATCTTCAAAAATATTTCAAAAATTTCAAACTTTTTGGTTGTGTGTGCTTTTCAGACAATTTCAGCACTTTATGATTTTTCGAAAATTTTGAAAATTTTCAAACTTTATTCCAAATTTCTCCCCGTCTGATGCCTTGCAGAAACGGTCTCTGTCTGAGAGTTTCAGATATAATGTGTCTGTCGAACGCGGTCTGTGCCTGACACGGTCTGTGACGTGCCGCCTCTGAAAAGCCCGCGTGCGGCACTCACCTCGAAAGGGGATTATTTTTGGGATTTATTCTGCTGATAGGATAATGGAATAAAACGAATTGGTCCTTCTTAAGGCTCATCTCGCCGAGCTGCCCCAGGCTGTCCTCAGGCAACTCAAGGCATCGATCATCGAGGAGAGAAGAAGACGTGAGGCCGTGACAACCGCCGCGGCCAAAGGGGAGACTCGAGCCACCGCCGGCAAGAGAAAAGCCAACGAGTTGGACTTGTCCAACTCGGGCGGTTCAGTGGAACCCTCCTCTAGGATCCCGGGCCACTGTCCGGTGCCGGTGACAGTTCTCCGACCTGATGACCCGGTGGTTAAACCAACCTCCAGCACCACGGGCGAACAAGTCACTTCCGTTGGCCGGAAACTCAGCTATGCTGAAGTGAGCGCGGCGTACACCGGGGTAGTGACCGGTCGACCGGGTAAAAGGGTGGATACCTCGGCACCGCTCCCCACTAAAGCTGGGGCCTCGAAAGATGGTAAAGGAGCTAGAGACCAGAAGGCGTCCCGCAGACCTCCCGGGGCTGAAACCGCCGAGCGGGACAGACAAGCCCCCGGCCAAGGGACCCGCTACCTCGACGGAGGAGGCACCCGGGCGCAGGTCTCCCCGGGCTTCCGGTGACCTCTCCGGGCCTCTGACTGGCATGCCCTCGGACACCGATGGTACCCACGCCCAAGTGGATAAACCGGCTCCTGGGGAGCGCCGGAACAAAACCCCGGTGTTCGTCCCCGGGATGAAGAACATTCGCGGCTTCCTGTAGAGGATTCACGCGGGACCGTGGCCCAGATGAAGGGAGACCTCGTGACTCTGGAGCCTGAAACCGCCGACGGATTCCGGGCCACCGTCAGGGACCTGCGATCCCTCGGAGAAGGCGAGGGTGTGCGTTTTCACACATTCTTCCACCCCGAGGATCGGGGCGTGCGCGTTGTCAATAACAAACACATCTCGATATTCAAATTCCAAAACACAAAAATCGATCAAGATATTAGAATATATGTGTGAGTTAATTATTAATTAATTTATTATTAAAATTAATTAACGAGTGTTAATTATTTAATATTATATATGTGTATCGCACGGGGCCCCGAAGGTGCGAGCTCAGACCGAGGTCTGCCGACTACGGGTCGAGGTGGGGACTGCAAACGGCGTTACGAAGATTTGTAAGATCCACACCAACAATGGACCGACAATGGTCACCTGTTATATGAACACCTGCGACTACAACAATGCAAGAAAACGATTTCGAATTTCTAACCCACGCCTGCAACAATCTTGGCTGAGCTTACCGTAAGGGTCATTTTTCATTTATTATACATGCATTATAATAGCCTGAATGAACCTTATTGCACTCCGTTCGTTTGCCTGAGAAACTGATTGTTGCGTCATCTGTTTACTCGCCATTGTTGCGTTAGTATATATCGCCGTCAACAATCCGCCTTCGTCATTGTGGAAAGAGCTCTGCTGTGAATCGCTTGTAGAAAAAGTGCGTCGTAGAGAAGATAATTTTGTGCTGTCAAAAACCTCTTAGAATATGGCAAGTATTTATCTTACATAAGAATTATTAAGAAATCGGTGATAATCGATTTTAGTTTCGATTAGATCGATCATTGCCGGTGGACGTCGTGGTCTCTTACGATTGGACAAAGTTTGAGGTTAGGGATTCCTATTTATTATTAATGTTCATCACATTCAATATTTTTGTGAACTCGTGTAAGAGAATTAGGCTCGTCTCTTCCTGACGTAAAGTCGAATTATTAACGAATTTTGAAAACATTTTCCTGCTTTGTGACACGGACGGATCATTCGGCAAATCGGCGTTAGTTACGAAGATTTGTAAGATCCTATGAAGGAATTGTCGTGTGGACAAAGAACGACCTTGGAAAACGGGGATTCAGTTGCGTTGGTAACTTCAATAAGTTGATTGAGGTAATTAAATTTGTCCTTCAGATGAAAAAGTTTACTCCGTTTGGTAAATATCGCGTCGTGGATTACTTCAAGGGATCTGAGTTCGAACACAGAGGCAGTCCGCGTGCACAGATCTTCGAAAATACCTCGTAGACGACAATCAAATTTAAGAAGGGAATTTCATGACACCAAATTCTTGAAAGGAGAACCAAATGTCAGGGGCCCAGTAAGGGCCAAGGAGGCACCTGCCACGTTGATCTATATAAATTCGTGTATACATTTGCCATGTTTGTGCTTACATTCCACTCACGGCAGACATTTTAAGAACAGTGAATATTAATAGAGACACTTTTTTAATCTTACAGATAACGTTTACATATATCGAAGACCAGAGGCCGGTCTGGATGAAATGGTTGGCTGGTGGGAGTTTTGCAGCTCTGGTGTTTATTGCAGTAATTTTATTGGTCACGGCGCTCAGAAGAAAATTCAAAAAACCATCAAAATCTATGTAAGTATATTTGAATATGGCTCAAAAAGCCATTAAAAATTTATTACGTTTTATGATAAAAAGAATTGTCTTTTACTATGTCATATTTGCTTCACCTTATAATTCCATAATTTTCGCGAGTCGAATTATTAACGAATTTTGAAAACATTTTCCTGCTTTGTGAATGTGATCTCTGTCTCTGACAAAGTTTGTCTGTTCTCATTTCTTACAGAATATCGCCGCCTTCCACAGACAAATGTGATAGATCATTTAGCCCGGAATGTACAGATTCCTCGACCGATGAATCCGTCTCGATCTGCAAACCTCTCAGACGGAGTCCAAGATTAATACACCTCACCAGATGCACTGCTTGTACGACCTCATCGCCATCACCATCGTCATCAAAATCATTGTTAACCGAGAAGTCATCAACAACGCTGAAAAATACGAAAATACCTCGTAGACGACAATCAAATTTAAGAAGGGAATTTCATGACACCAAATTCTTGAAAGGAGAGCCAAATGTCAGGGGCCCAGTAAGGGCCAAGAAGGCACCTCCCACGTTGATCTTACGGAGCCCAAAGAGTTAGAAGGTCTGAGCAGCTAAGCGACTGTTGCGGTGAACGCGCTCGCGTATTGGACTGAGGCCCATTTCAAGCCACTACAGCGTCCATCACATCGGGAGTGAGTGAGGCTGAGATATCGCGAGCTCCACTGGCACTTGGTGAAGTTTTAATTTTATCAAATTTCTTCAAAATGAAATTCAATAAAGATCTGTTGTATGGACACATGTGATTTTGATTAATGACCGAGGTAATGGAAGAATGGTTTTATTTTGAGCATTGCCTTTCGTATTTTGGAGGAGTTACATAAGCCCGTATTGGACTTAATTTTGTATCCAAAAATTGTTGTTTTAAAAATGTTTGTAAATATATTTGATAGCGAGCGAAAGCCGTTAAGTCTTTTAATTACAGATTATAACTCCCTTAAAAATATTACATGTTCCAGTCTTTGTCAAGACAGTAGATCGCCCGTTCCGAGAATTGTTTAAATTGAAAATTTTCAAAATTTTCAAAAAATCAAAAGGTGCTGAAACTTGTCCAAAAAGCGCACAAAATCAAAAAAAATTGAAAAATTTAATTTTTTTTTTCAAAATTTTCAAAAAATCAAAAAGTGCTGGAAATTGTCCAAAAAGCGAACAAAACCAAAATTTTTTGAAAAATTTCACTTTAAAATTTTTTCAAAATTTTCAAAAATTTAGTTTTTGTGGGGTTTTCAGACCATTTTAAAGCATTTTTTGTTTTTTGAAAATTTTTGAAAAAAATTTAAATTGTAATTTTTCAAAATGTTTTGATTTTATGCGCTTTTTGGACATTTTCCAGCATTTTTCCTTTTTTTGAAAATTTTGAAATTTTTCAAAATTATACGATCTGATGCCTTGCAGAACCGTTCTGTCCCGGACTGTTTCTGATGTACTGTGATTCTGACGAATGCGGTCTGTGCCTGACTCGGGCTCTTCACGGACCGGTCTATGTATGACACGGGTCTGACGTACTGTCTCTTAGAATCCCAGGTGCGCGCAGACAACACGTGTGGCAGACACGGACCTGCAGAGACCAGTCCTGCAGAGGCCGTTTGGTGCAAACACCGAGGCAGACAGCAGCTGGGTGAGATTGAGGACGAGTCCGGCAGATACAGAATGTGGCATTCACCGAGACTGGCATTCATCTCTTGAGGAGACTTTTGAAGAAAATTTTCAAAATTTACGAAAAATGAAAAAACGCTGGAAATTGTCATAAAAGCGCACAAATCTAAAAAAATTGAAATTTTTTTGAAGTTAAAATATTTCAATTTTTTTTTGGTTTTGTGTGCTTTTCGGACCATTTCCAGCGTTTTTTGATTTTTCGAAAATTTTGAAGATTTTTTCAAAACTCTCACCAAGAGATGCATGCCAACCTCGGCGAATGCCTCACCCTGTCTCTGCCGGACTCGGCCTCGATCTTTTCCGATTGCTGACTGCCTCGGTTTCTGCACAACCGGCCTATGCAGGACTGGATGTGTGGCCGACCGTGTCCCTTCCCTTCTCGGTATCTGCCTTACGTGTTGCATCCAGCACCTCGGCTTATAGAAGACCGTGTGAGGCACAGACCGCGTTCGTCAGAGACACAGTACATCGGACACACTCCGTTGGCTATCTGTCCTGCATGGCATCAGGTGGGGTGGAATTTGAAAGAAATTTTGAAATTTTTTCAAAATTTTCGAAAAATCAAAAAAACACTGGAAATTGTCCAAAAAGCGCAAAAACCAATTTTTTTTTTAAAAATTCCACTTTCGAATTTTTTTTCAAAATCTTAGAAAACAATTTCAAATATTTCAAAATTTTTATTTATGTGTGCTTTTCAGACAATTTCCAGCACTTTTTGATTTTTCGAAAATTTTGAAATTTTTCAAAATTTATTCCAAAGTTCTCCCCGTCTGATGCCTTGCAGAAACGTTCTCTGTCGGAGAGGTTCAGATATAATGTGTCTGTCGAACGCGGTGTGTGCCTGACACGGTCTCCGACGTGCCGCCTTTAAAAAGCCCGCGTGTGGCACTCACCTCGAAAGGCGATTATTTTTAGGATTTATTCTGCTGATAGGAAAATGGAATAAAACGAATTGGCCTTTCTTAAGGCTCATCTCGCCGAGCTGCCCCAGGCTGTCCTCAGGCAACTCAAGGCATCGATCATCGAGGAGAGAAGAAGACGTGAGGCCGTGACAACCGCCGCGGCCAAAGGGGAGACTCGAGCCACCGCCGGCAAGAGAAAAGCCAACGAATTTTACCTGTCCAACTCGGGCGGTTCAGTGGAACCCTCCTCTAGGATCCCGGGCCACTGTCCGGTGCCGGTGACAGTTCTCCGACCTGATGACCCGGTGGTTAAACCAACCTCCAGCACCACG